TACTCTGCCTACCATAGTAAAATCCCTAAAACCCCGGGATTTGAGAAACGCTTGCAGTTGTATCAGCTCTTTCACTATCTGAACCACTGGAATCATTTTGGATCTGGGTACAGAGGGTCCTCTCTAAACATAATGAGGAATCTCAGCAAATGAACTGGCTGGAGGGTGGAGTCTCTTATGAGCGTGCTGGATCTTCTAACAAGACGACTCCATGTCTAGACCAAGTCTACCCATCACAGCATCATTGTGAACTGAGGGAAGTGCCTGGGAGTCAGGGGGCCAGATTCCAACTATATGGTCAAGGAGCTCGTTATGCTTCATGGTCCTTCTCCTCATGAATTCTTCTCATTTGCTCCATGACTGGACTTGCTTAAGATTCCTTGACATCTTATTTCTAAGCTTTGTAAAGTACAGGTTATTTCAGAGGAAAGGTTATATAATTCTGAAGTTGTGTACATTGTAAGACTTTCTGGCTGGATTAGGCCTCCCCGGTGTTACGAACAGAGACCTATGAAGTTTAGGGATAGTGAGCCCACTCCTCAAGCAAAGGTAAAGAAATGTGAGTGCCTATGTTGGTGTGCTGGAGGGTACCCACTGTGCAGGGAAATGGCCAGTGTGTCCACCTCCCACCACTTCCTTGTTGTCTATTCTCAACATTTCTGAACTATTCACAGTGATCCTTTGTGATGACTAGGCTTGATCTAGACATGGAGTCATCTTGTTAGGAGATTTGAGTAATGACCAACTCTAAAATCAATGATATTCCCTTTGCTTGTGTAGTGCTTCCAAACCCTGCTACAAGCTGAGCAGGTCTGGAGATCGGCTTGAAGACTGATCAAGCTAGCAACCTTAGGGTAACTTGGTTCAGTTTAGGAGCCTGGAAATGTTCCTGTTATGCCATCTTTGTGCTGTTTTATTTTCTTTTTGTTTTGTTTTTGAGACAGGGTTTCTCTGTATAGCTTTGGCTGTCCTGGGATTCACTATGTAGATTAGGCTGGCCTCAAATTTAGAGATCCACCTGCCTCTGCCTCCTGAGTGCTGGGATTAAAGGTGTGCGCCACCATAGCCAAAGCTGTAATTTCATTGCAACATATGAGCATTTGCGTTAACATCTTTTTCTGTCTTTCAACATTGTAGAAATGGGAAATTTCACGAATGACATTGATGTTGATAAATCTTTTTGCCTAGAAATTTGAATAAAATTGCAGTTGTTTCAGTGATGCCTAAGACTTATTTCCATATTTATGTACTCAACATTTTAGCCATTTGCCAGAAAATATTGTAATGCTATATTGTAACAATAAATAGGTACAACTTTTGTTTCTTCCTGTTTTGAAAGGGGACTGTATTAGTTATTTTTCTATTGGTGTGATAAAACATGTCCAAGGCAATTTATAGAGGAAAGAGTTGACTTAGGCTTACAATTACAGAGGCTTGGGTTCCTAATGGAGGGAATCACATGGCAGCAAGTGACTTGGTGACTCTAACTGGGAGCTGTGGGCTCATATCTCAAACTGCAAGCAGAAGACAGAGAGAAAACCAGAAACGACCTGCAGCTTTCAAACCTCCAAGTCCACCCCCAGTGACTTACTTCCTCTAGTAAGACCACACCTCCAAACCTACTCAAGTAGCACTACCAACATCTGAGCAAAGGAGGACATTTTCATTCAAACCACCGCAGTGTCTCATGTAGCCTAGGCTAACCTTGAATTCCTGGTTCTCCTCACCTGATGGGGGATGCCCTTCTGTATGTGTGTTTCTCTTATTGGTTGATGACTAAAACACTGTTTGGCCAATAGCCACTAGAGACAGGAAGACAGACAGGACTAGGACGAGGAGAATTCTGGGAAAGGGAGGCAGAGAGAGCCCACCAAAGATGGGTCACCATATAGTCAACCAAGGAGTAGAAGGTCCTGACATTCTCCGGTAAGTCAAGACCATGTGGAAATACATAGATTAATAGAAATGGGTTAATAATTAAGACAGAGCTAACCGGTAAGAAGCCCTAGTCGTTGGCCAACAGTTTTATAGTTAAGATAGTATCCTGTGTGCTTATTTGGGGCTGAAGTGGTGGTGGGACCTGGTGGGACAAGCGAGAAACCTCCGCAAACACTCCAGTTTGTTTTTTGCTTTTGCTTACAATAATGTCTTTCACACCCATAAAATTAACCCTACTACTATCTTAAGAGATTTGGCATCCCAACTATCTTTCCTCTGAATTGTTAGTGGCTCTTATTAGCCACCCCCTATCCAGTTGTCTCCTGTTCTCACAGGCTCTTTCTATGCGCCTGACTTTGTAATTATAGTCTGTCATGTGACCTGTGTGAAGGAAAGCACAAGGGGCTGTGAGAGGAGGGGCTTTCCTCCTGAGATAACCCTAGCAGTCTATCCAGAGACTGCTGACAGATTCACCTGAAACACATCACTGGGATTTTTAGACACCAGTTACACAGAATAGCCTAGAAACCTCCAAAGAGAGGGCAAATCCTACGAAGAATCAAAATGCCTCCAACCTCCCAATACTTAAAGAAGATAGCAAGCAATGGTGCCTTCTTTGTCTGAAAGAGAAGAGTCTGACTGACCTGAAATTCCATACACAATTTGTCAGCCAATAACAAAGAAGTGTCTGGTTGTACTGGTCTCAATGCTTTATGTCAAGGTGCAGTGAAAGGGCAGACCTCAAACGGAAACACCAGTTAGGTTTCCTATAGATGGCTGTTCTACTTGTTCTTTGTAGTGACCTTGTAGTGTCTAGTCCACTTACTTGGTATGGCCTTGAAGGATCATAGCCAGCAGTGTGGGGAGCAGAGAAGGCCTGTGTGGGTTTTTTTTTTTTTTTTACATGAGCTTGCAAGATCAACACCAAAGCCTCAGAGCCATGAGAGTTGGCACACCCTTTCCTCCAGGTGAAGCTCACAGAAATGACAAGGCTTTCCTACGGACTGAGTGTGAATAGATAGGGCATGCAGAAAATGCCCGCCATGGCTTTTCCTCTCAGATAGTTACTGCCTGAAGACTGTGCCCCTACAGAGACTGCTCCCACTGAGGTTAGTTAAGCCTGGCTCCTTGATTTAGCTCTATACCACAAACCCTGTCTACTTGTTCTGCTGTAAATAGTGAACTTACTGAGACTCGGGGATGCTGAGCTTCTCCATCAGAGAGCCAGCGCAGTCCACTTTATTCCAGCTATTCTGAGTGTCCATATGTTTGTCTTGTCTTCATTTCCTCACCACCCCAATTAGCCATGTAAGACTCAGCACAGAGGGAAGATGGGGAAATGGTGCTTGGCTTTAGAACCAAGTTAGAAAAGGCCCTTGGGGTGGAACCCTGGCTCCAGAAATGTCCACTCTGGTCTCCATGATTGGAAATGACCAAGCCACATTGGAAGGCCATATCAATGTGCCTCGGTTGATAGTGTCTGCTGAGCCCAGATTCCAGTCATCCCACATAGGTGCCAGACACAGGAATTATTAAAGCACCTCAGGGAGGGCCGGGCGGTGGTGGCGCACACCTTTAATCCCAGCACTCGGAAGGCAGAGGCAGGAGGATCTCTGAGTTCGAGGCCAGGCTGGACCGACAGCCTCGAAAACAATACAGAGAAACCCTGTCTCGTAAAACCAAAAAAAACAAAACAAAAGCACCTCAGGGAACCCTGTCTCGGTTTTGAGCCAGGGACAGACCACAAGGACTACAGGGATAACCAGAACTGACAGGTCTTGCCCCTCTGAGGCCTGCTGGAACTCCTAAGATAGGTTTGTGGATTGCAGCCTCATACACATTATCTCTTCTGTGCTGTGGGTTTCATCTTCACAGTAACTTCACCATTAATATGAGGGTGTCTGATAGGGTAACAGTGTTGAAGAGCTGACAGCTGGCAGGTCAAGAGGGGAATACTGAGCTGCATGGTGTAGTCAGGCTTTCTAAGACACATCCCACTAGGGACCTGAGACTAGGATTCAGAGGCTGGGACCCAAAGCCAGATTCGGTTTCACATACTCTGAGCTATGACCCAGAACTGGGTCCGGTGCAAGTTAACTCCTCTATGCTTCCAGTTTCTTCATAGAGAAGGTGATAACTAATTGTAGGATCCTCTCATAACATCGTTGTGAACTTGGCTGACATTCACTTGTGCCCTAGCACACACTGAAAGCTCAGCAATGGATCATTCACTCCACTAATCTTTCTAGTATTACAGTATATGAGGGGCACCAGCAGTTCATGGTGGGGGCTGGGATTGGAGGCAACCTCTCCTAAAATACTTGGTGGTTATCTCAGCACAGGCTGTCCCTTATACCAGTCTGTGAATGTGTTCTTGTATACATATGTGTGTGCCCATGTACACATGAGCATTTATGTCTTGAAACTCCTTTCCTATCATGGCTATCCAGAGTCTCCCACCTACCCTGGGTGGGGTAGGCTGCTGCTATCACAACCCCCAGAGCAGCTTTTATCACCCAGTCCTGTGGCATTAAAGTTGCCACTAGGGCCTAGCTAGGGCACCCTGCCTGGCTAGGACACCACCCTAATCTGGACCGTGAGAGTCGAGCTAAGCATATAACCTTTCCACAGGATAACTGAGTCTTTAGGGTGTGTCTTGTGTTGCAAGGATAAAGAAGCCCTGGCCCAAATCTTCCTGTGGGCACTCCTGATCCGCCCAGTTGTGCAGTGAGCACAGGGCTTAGGGTGGACCACAGATGGGTGCAGATGTGCTGAGATATCACATGCAGGCTGTGAGGACACAAGGACACTTCCTTTCTATGTCCCAGGCTTTACAGAACACTCAGAACCAGGTCTGGGCTCCTACTCCTCTAGGGTGAGTCAAGCTGGAATAGAAATTCCGGAATGAGCCTTGTAGGAAAGCTTCGAGAGCCTTTGCATCCCTGCTACCCGGGTAGAGATTGTCTTGGAGAGAGAAATAGCTGTCTGATCCAATTCCCTCTTCTTCCCCGTCCCTCCCCAGCCCTGGTGCGCTAGGGACAGTGCGCACCCAAGTGGCCGCTAGGAGCCAGTAGGCCGCACGTCACGGGGTCCAAACCTTGTTGTGGCAGCCCGGCAGCGTCTCCCTCCCTCCCCCGCCAACTGCAGGTTTCCTTCTGGTATCCAGGTCCCCTCCTCTGTGTCATCTCCCGGCATTCTGGTCCCCTAGTCTTCATGGAGCAGCTGTTGCGCGCCGAGCTGCGCACCAAGACACTGCGGGCCTTTGGGAGCTCCGGGGCTGGCTGCATCAGCGAAGGCCGTGCCTATGACACTGACACTGGCCCGGTGTTTGTCAAGGTCAACCGCAGGACGCAGGTGCGCTGAGGGGTGTGCAAGGATGAAGTCCGGGAAGTGGTGGGGGAACAAGACCCTACCCTGTCCGAGGGATCAGCACCTGCAGGCAGGCTTCCTCTTCGGACCGGAGGATTTGTCTTTACTGCATAATCACTTTCTTGCTTTTGCCTCCACGCACAGGCTTTAAATTTCTGTAGTTACTGACCGTGGAGGAGATGAGTCTTAGTTGTAAGCTGCATCTGCCCGTGTCTGGTCCTGCATTCTCCCAATAACATGGGGAAAGACAGGATTCCCAGGACCAGGGTAGCACTATCTTCCTCACGAGCTGTGATGTTACTAGGACCCTTTAGATATTCCTGTTTAAGAACATATGGAGCCAGGAATAGTGTCACCCATTTATAAGCATAGGACTTAGGAGGCTGAGGATGGTGAGTTTCAAGCCAGCCTGGGCTACATGAGGAGACCCTGACTCAAAACAAAAACAAGACAAAACTAGCAACAACGAAAGAATGCATGGGAAACTCTAAGACAGATGGAGAGTGTTAGCTAAAGGCCCTGAGAGAAAGTTGCTGATGGCACAGACTCGTGCTCTCCCCCTCCCCTGCTCTGGGGGTTTCCAGAGGTCCTATGCTCTGTGGGGAGTAGTTGTGGACCGTGGTTCTAGTAGGTATGCTGACTGTGGGGGAAGAGAGAATTCCAGAGCATCCCTTCTCATTAGAGATGGTGTCAGGAGTGGGATTATTCTGCATTCTCTGTAGTGTTGGCATCATTTGGAGGCTTACCCTGGAAGCATGGCTGGGGTTTGCAGATGCCCTCCTATCCAGGGTACTCTCAACACATGCCTCTTGATCCCAAGGGCAGGCTGGCAATTTGAGGATACCTGTCTGACTTTCCCCTTGGAAATTTGAATTAAAGGGGATAAATTATTTTCATGTGTGATAATAAGTGTTTTGGCTTCAAGTTTTTTTTATTAAAAAATATTCAATTGTTTTGCGTATATGCATGTATATGTCTGTTTGTGAGACCTCTGGCTTGCACATACGATGACATATATAGAAGTCAGTGGACAACTTTTTGGGAGTTGGTTTTCTCTTTCTGCCTTGTTTTGTGGCAAGGCTTCTCTTGTTTCTGCCCCCACACAGAATGTTCCAGGCTAGGTGGTCTCAAAGATTCTAGGTGACTATCCTGTCTCTACATTCCATCATGTAATGGGAAGGCTTGGATTACAGATGCACATGACCACATCTGGCTTTTTATGTGGACTCTGGGGATGAAAGTTTGGTCATCAGGCTTGTGTGATAAATGCTTTTACCCACAGAGTCATCTACTTTTTGGGGGGAGGCGGGTTTCTTTGTATTGTTTTGAAGGCTGTCCTGGAACTCACTCTGTAGACCAGGCTGGCCTCAAACTCACAGAGATCTGCCTGCCTCTGCCTCCCCAGTGCTGGGATTAAAGGTGTGCACCACCACTGTCCAGCGAGTCATCTACTTTTAATTAAAAAAAAACAAAAACAAAAACCTATGATTCTAGTTGGGTGGTGGTGCATGCCTTTAATCCCAGCACTCGGGAGACTGAGGCAGGCAGATCTCTGTGAGTTCGAGGTCAGCCAGGTCTTCAGAGTGAGTTCCAGGACAGCCAAGACTACACAGAGAAACTCTGTCTCAAAAAAACCAAACGAAACAAACAAACAACCCCCCTATGATTCTATTTATAGAAGAATTCACAAACCCCATGAATAAATGCACTGGGGTAGGAGGTTAGCTGTGGATTCCATTCAGTAGCAGAACATTTTTCTCGTATGCACAATCTCTGAGGCCCAGTCCCCAGCACAAATAAGTAAGTAAATAAACAAAATGCATGTTTTCACCAAGGTATAGTGGACAATAAGAAAGTTGCCTAAAAATAAATGGAGTATTTGTAGAAATAGTTTAGGAAACAGAAAGCCTCTGGGTGCCAGAAAAGGCCTTGGTGGGCAAGCAGGGTCTATGAGTCTAGTCCCTTGCTAGAACTGAGTCAGGCCCTACTGACCTCCCCACTCTGCCTTCTCTGACCCAAATATGAGCCCAGGTAATTTCTACCAATCCCAAGACTGCCTGTCCTTACTCAGAGGCAGGAAAGAAAGCAACTCCACAGAGGACTCAGGCCTAGGCTCAGACTTTTTGCTGACTCACACTGGACCATTTCGCCTATCGACCCTTGGCATTCCCCTGTGGCCAGTGCACCTTCCACAGCAAGGCCTCACAGTGCTGTATGGATCCTCCCATAGACCCCTTGAATTCTGGCCTCAGGCTTATCCTTTAGGCTCCTTCTTACCTGAAGGGGTCTCTTTTCCACCCTGGCCTTGAGGGGTGGATGTGAGGTTGTTTTTCAGTAATTGAAGGTACTAGGTCTTGTGGCCTGTGTCAAGGGCCATGAGTCCCTTGGTTTGGTTAGCAAGGCCCCGTTCCAATCCAGGTTTGCAGAGCTGACAGGGTTCTTGGCATTTGGATGCAGGCCCGGCAGATGTTTGAGGGAGAGATGGCAAGCCTGGAGGCCCTCGGCAGCACTGGCTTGGTGCGGGTACCTAAACCCATGAAGGTGATTGACCTGCCAGGGGGCGGGGCTGCCTTTGTGATGGAGTATTTGAAGATGAAAAGCCTGAGCAGGTGAGTACTCTTGTGTGTATGGGGAGAGGGAGGGCCATTTTCACACACGAAGGCACACAAGATGGGAAGAGGAAAAAATAGGGAGAGACTGATGTAAACACAGAGAGACAGGTACAGAAAGAGGGGGGAGGGAAGAGACACATGTACTCAGAAAGAGGCAGGGACAGACAGAAACAGACACAAGATACAGAGAAGCAGAAATAGAGAAGACGGACGAAACAGGGGGAGAGAGAGAGAAATGGGAGGGGGACACTAGGGACCAGTCTCAGCTGAGACAGAAAGTGACTGAGAGAAAGAGAGAGAAAGAACAATAGGGAACACTAGAAAGAACACTGCTGAACTTACATAACTCAGTCTAGTTGCCAGAGTCTTTTTTTTTTTTTAAGGTGTCACTATGTATCCCTGACTGGCCTTGGAACTCACTATGTAAACCAGGCTGGCTCCTCTGCCTTCCAAGGGCTAGGGTTAAAGGCATGTTCACCATGCCTGGCTGGCTGTCAGAGTCCTTTTTTTTTTTGTTTTTCAAGGCAGGGTTTCTCTGTATTGTTTTGGAGGCTGTCCTGGAACTCATTCTGTAGACCAGGCTGGCCTCGAACTCACAGAGATCCACCTGCCTCTGCCTCCCGAGTGCTGGGATTAAAGGCGTGTGCCACCAACACCCAGCTGTCAAGAGTCCATTTTAAAAGATTGATTTTTAACATATATACATATGTATATGTTTGTCTACATGTATGTGCACTAAGTACATTTCTGACGACTACAGAGGCTAGACAAGGGTGTTGGATTTCCTGGACTCGGAACTAAAGATGTTTCTGAGCTGCCATGCAGATACTAGGAACCTGAGTCTGATACTTAGTGCTCTGAACTGATGAGGCACCTCTTCAGCCACCTCTTCTTCCCGAAGTCCATCCTTTATTTATTTGGTTTTCTCTATTTGGACCTGAGATCTTGAAAGCAAAGCTTGTATTAATTCATCAACTTTTATAAGAGTAACAAAGCCAACTTGTCTTTCTCTATTAAATTAAAAAAAAAACCTTATTTTATGTGTTTTGCCTGCGTGTATGTCTGTGCATCACATTTGTATACTGTTCTCAGAAGTCAGAAAAGGGGTTTGAATCCCCTCAACCTGAAGTTACAGGAGGTATGAGCCATCATGTGGGTGCTGGGAATTGAACCCGGTTCCTCTGGAAGAGCAGAAGGTGCTCTTAACTGCTGAGCGGTCCCTCAACCCCCCCCATCCTCAATCCATTCTTAATCAAGACAGAGATAATTGCTGTTTTTTGTTTTTTTCCCCCCCTCCGGTTAGTTTAGCTTCAGTGAGGCTGCATAAAATAAGTGTATCCGAAAAAGTCCCTTGCTTTGTGCTATATAGTATGTTAATCCAGTTTGGACTGAGAGAGGCTCATCAATTATCTGGCATCTTAATTTTTTTTCTCCATTACAGTCATGCATGTTCATTGTATGAAACAAACTCTGGTAAAGAAGGCATCAACATTTTATCAACAGGGTGTTGCCACAGCTCATATCTCAGCATGTGACTGTGGTCCCAGGGTTTCTCTATATTTAGTTTGCATTTCTAAAAATTTAAATTTAGAGCTGAATGTTTTTTACTTACTGATTGAGGCTTTGTGCCCGATGACCAGGCCAGTGTCTGCTGAGATGCTACAGAAATTACCATAAGGGCTGTTACTTATTTTTTTTAATTTACACTGGGTTAACATTTCTCAAAGCAGAGCATACTGCGTAGCATTTGCCACATTAACTGCTACCCTTTCTTCTTTCTTTAGTCAGGCATCAAAGCTTGGGGACCAGATGGCAGATTTGCACCTTTACAATCAGAAGCTCAGGGAGAAGTCCAAGGCCAGGGAGAACACAGTGGGTAAGTTCAGTTCATTAAAAAACAAACAAAAAACCAAAAAACAAAACTTGGGCCTAGTCCATCAGCTACTTTAGATGAGTATTCATGGAGCTTCTGGGTAGCATTTCAGTAATGGGTTGAGTGGTATAGCATCTCCCTTTACAGTTCATCAAACAATTTTTTTTTTGGTTTTTCGAGACAGGGTTTCTCTGTATTGTTTTCGAGGCTGTCGGTCCAGCCTGGCCTCGAACTCACAGAGATCTGCCTGCCTCTGCCTCCCGAGTGTGTGTGTGTGTGTGTGTGTGTGTGTGTGTGTGTGTGTGTGTGTGTGTGTAGAGAGAGAGAGAGAGAGAGAGAGAGAGAGAGAGAGAGAGAGAGAGAGAGAGAGAGAGAGAGACATATATATAGGTACTTGCTGGGGCTAGACATCTGATTCCCTGGAGGTAGAATTGCGGGTAGTTGTACATTGTTTAACCTGGGTGCTGGGAAGAGCAGCAAGTGCTCTTAACTTTGGGGTCACCTCTCCAGCCCCAAGTACATTGTGAAAATGAGATGATTAAGTAATTTTAATGGAGCTGGTGAATGAGTAGATTTGACCTCTGACTAACCAGTCCCACAGTCTGTCCATTGGTCTAAGGTAGAAAAGTCCAGGCTAATCTATGTGCTGGCTAGTCACTTCCACCTAGTGAGCCCTCAGATTACCAGTGTTTGAACCATTTGTGTGGATGCGGCCAGGCCTGCAGGGCATTCTCCTGAGTTTCTGGTTCCCATGACAAATGAGTAGCTTAATGAGACCAAGATTTCTGTTGACAGGCTGTGGGGCTGAGGGTGCTGAGCCCCAGGGTGTGACCAAGTTCGGCTTCAACACAGTGACATGCTGTGGCTTCATCCCGCAGGTGAGTATCTGAGTGAGGGCATCCCTACTTGGTGATGATCATTCCTGAGGCTCCAGTGCTTGGCTGATAACCTTCCCTAAAGTGCCAGTGCTGGCCACTGGCCCCTTGTGTGCAACAGTGCCGGTTCTCCTGACACCAGAATACAGCACTCAACCATTATTTCTGAAGGCAGAGTGCAGGCGGTGACACCTATGATGGAAAGCAGATGGGCAGGCTACCTGAGCCAAGCTTGGAGGTAGTAGATACTGCAGTCGGCTGATCGGCATTCCAGGTTTGGGCAACAGTGATGCAAATGACATTTGTAGGAGGGTACTTGACTAGTTTAAGAGTCTGAAGAGGGTAGACTGGACAAGGCTAAAGATGAAGTCCTTATCATTCAGGTCCTTTTCCAGGGCTGTTAAAAATTATTGTATTTATTGAAATACAATTGAGAGGTAATTCATGCAACACAAAACTCTACTTTTTGTTTGTCTTTTCTTTTCTTTCTTTCTTTTTTTTTCAAGACAGTGTTTCTCTGTATTGTTTTGGAGGCTGTCCTGGAACTCGTTCTGTAGACCAGGTTGGCCTCAAACTCACAGAGATCCGCCTTCCTCTGCCTCCTGAGTTCTGGGATTAAAGGCATCAACCACCAACGCCTGGCTTGTTTGGCTTTTCAAGACAGGATTTCTCTGTATAACAGCCCTGGCTGTACTGGAACTTGCTCTGAAGACCAGGCTGGCCTCAAATTCACAGAGATCTACCTGCCTCCACTATGTCCAGCTAAATCTCTCCATTTTAAAGTGCATCATCCAATGGTTTTTAGTACAATCACAGTGTTAATGAAATTACCACTGCTATATTGTATCTGAGTTCTGACCAGGCCCTATTGCTTAGCCTCTGAGATCAGATGAGGTCAACTGTTTTCAGGTGATATGTCTATAGATTCATTATCATATCTCATTCCAGAATATTTTCATCACCCAATAGCAACGCCTTCCCTTAACCCCAGCCATCACAAATCTACTGTACAACTCTATGGTTTTGCCATTCTAGACATTTTGTGTTTGTAGCATTATACAGCATGTGACCTGTGTCCAGCTTCTTTCACTTACCAGTGTTTTCAAGGTTAAACCTCACTGTAGCATGTGCAAGAGTGTCATGCTTTATGGTTGGATGCAGCACGAATTCTAGTTGGTATTAATCATAAAAACCCAGAGATAGATAGTGGGGTTAAAGCTGAAGATCAGAGAAGCAAAGTGGCCAGTCACTAGAGAGTTCTCACCTCTACTAATGCTCAGATCAAAAGGGCAATCCTGTCCTCAGATTGCATCTCCAGACTGTCTCCAACACACCTCAGACTATCCTATGTTCCTTTCTCCTTCTGCCGTATATTCCTCTAGTGCTGGGATTAAAGGTGTGGGATCCCAAGTGCTGAGATCACCTTTGTGTGAGCTCTATTTCTCATTTAGACAGATTCAATCTTGTGTAGCTAAGGGCGGCCTTGAACTAACAGAGATCCATCTGCCTCTGTCTCCTGAGTCCTGGGATTAAAGGTGTGTGCCACTACTGCCTGGCCTCTATGGATAGCTAGTGTGGCTAGCTTTGAACTCTGGTCTTCAGGCAAGCTTTATTTGTTAGATCATGAACAAAATATCACCATAGTTGGATCATATTTTGGGCTGGAACTCGCCATTTTCCTGACATAGCCTCTCTATTGTTATTATAGATGTAAGCCATCATGCCTGGTTCCATCTATTTTTAAAAAGATTTATTTTTATTCATGTGGTATGTGAGCGAGAGAATGCATGACCACATGCACAGGAGGCCAGAGGATGGTGTCTGATTGCTTGGAACTGGAGTTACAAGTTGTTTTGAACGATCTGATGTGGACAATGTGAACTCAACTTTGGTTCCTTGGGAGAGCAGTATGTTCTGGTATCAGCTGAGCTGTGTCTCCAGTTTCCATTCTTTATGATTATGGCTAAATAACACTGTGGCCCCTTGAATCTTAGGCTTATCTCCTGGGCAGTCTACTTGCCCTACACCTACCTCAGAGAAGCCATTACTAGACCATATTTTGCTTTATTAAAGACAGAACACCTCTTGAATAAGAGCCATTCCAATTTAAGCCTGTTACTACTTGAAGGACCAACAATTTCAATTTTTTTTCTCTTCCTTGAAGCCTTCTCCAACTAGTTGGGCTACTGTAGACAATAGTTAAGCTCCCCCAGGCATGGGTTTGAAGTGAGTCTTAGTCGGGGATGACTTGCGGCAAGACTACACCCAATAAGCAGCTGTAATTCTAGGTCCTAAAAACAACTGTACACAGAAGCTTGTGAAAGACTCCCTAATCACAGCCATTTTCTGGTGTTATACACCTGGCTGGAGCTAGGGCCTAGCATGGCCTCTGTTATCATAGACAAGCATGGTCTGTTGTCTTGATTTACATGTTGAGTTTAAGGACTTCTTGGGGTTCTGGGTCTTCAAAGACTTGATGGATGAAGCAGTGTTTTTTCAAATGTTCATGAGTTGAGAGATGAAATAGTCTGTATATCTTGTGTATAAAGCAGATGAGAATGGAGCTGGTCAATCAAAAAGACAGAGGGTCTCTGAGTTTCCTTCAGACTCTGGGATCATAAATTAGCTGTGGTCTTGCCTGAAGAGCATCTGAGTCCAAGTCCACCCACAACAATATTGTTCTTTATATAGTGCCTCCAACCAGACCCAAGCTCCTAGGCATCCTACTCCCTAGCTGGACTGAGTGGGCTCTTGAGAGGTGTTGCAGTTATAGGTGGGAAACCCCTGAAAGTGTACTTCTTAGAACCTAGAGCAGTCAAATCCATTGTAACCACTAGTCCAGTTGGCCTGGGAATTTATGAGTTTTATTCTCTGCTAAGAACATTCCAAACATTTTGCCTGACTCCGCTTACCAGTTGCCACAATTGGTAAAGAATTAGGTGATATTACTGATCCATCTTAGAGAAGAAGAAACTGATGACTACTGAGACTAAGTAACATTCCCAGAGACTATGCAGATAATGAATGGATGAACCAGGATTTGACATATAGTCTGGCCTCAGAGATGGGCTCTAACCATTACACTGAGCTGCCCTTCTCAGTTTTTTTGCTCATGTGGAACCTGCCTTTAGTACCTCAGTAGGAAGGTCACATCTTTCTGTGGCCTTGGGAATATTGGCCCTAAATGACAAGACTGAACTTGCCAATGCTGGCCCAAAAGGAAATTGTGCCTTTTGTGACCTTGTTAACTTCTGGCAAGAGGAGAGCCCCCAGGAACTGGGATCCTTGACAGGTAAATATGGAATGGTGGAGTGCTGTGATGGTGGACCACAGTGCTTGGGAGCTTGCTGGCAGTGGGGAAGGATCTCTTGAGGTACACCTGACACTAGGGGGTAAACCCTAGGCTAAATGACTGAAGCACCCAAGAAAGACTCTAGGAAGAGGATGACTAGGACTATTTAGGCTGCCTCTCAGGTTCAGAATGCACCCCAAAAGCTCTGTGTTGGGGCTTTTCAGAGAAACTCTTGGAATAACCTTAGCTCGTGTCTATCTCCATGGAAGCCTAGGTGATACAAATTGCACCTATTTCAGGTGTACAGTTTGATAACTCGGGCAGCCAGTCACAAATTGCTCACTGCAGGTAAAAATGACCGACCCTTCCTCACATCCTTTACAACCTCTTCCTGTAACCCATCCCTGCTCCCGGGCCCCTGCAGGGCTACTTTCTGTCACTGCAGACTTGCTTGTGATTTGTGAAGTTTTATATAATCATACAGTATGTCCCCTGTTGGGGAAGTCTTATGTCAATAAAGCACTGTTGGGCCAATAGGAATCTAGATAGGTGGGACTAGGAGTCCAGGAGGACTCTGGGAAGGAGAAACACAAGAGAGTCAAGATGTAACGCCATGGGGTAGGAAGCCCGGAACTATTCTCTGGTAAGAGAAATACTTAGATTAACAATTATGGGGTAAATACTTAAGTCAGAGCTAGCCAGTAAGAAACAAACAAGGCCAACAGCTTCATAATTAATATAGCCTCCTGTGTGTTTATTTGGGACTGATGCGGCTCTAGAACCAGGCTGGCGGGAAGGCTTCTCTCAAGCAAAAAGCTTCTCTTTACAGTCCCCCTTCACTTTTTTTTCCAATCTGGCATATTTTACTTCATATAATCACATTGATATGAGTCCATGTCAAGTATTTTGGTATACATGAAATCACATGTGTCAAAAGTTGATTCCCCTGTATGGATAAACCATGATCTCTGTTTGCTTATCCATTCATCTGTTGATCGACGTCTGGGTTGTCCCTAGCGTGTTTTTGCAAATAGAGCTGCTATGAACCTTTGTGTACAAGTCATTGTGTACAAGTACTTTATCTTAGGTGAATACATGAGACCCAAGACAGGAAAGCCTGGGTTGCACAGTTAGGTTCTTACTTAAGTTTTATTTAACTGCCACATGGTGCTGAGAGTTGGCTAAGAGCACATACTACTCTTGCAGAGGACCTGAGTTTGGTTCACAGTCACCTGTCGCTTCAGCTTCAGGGGATCTGATGCCCTCTTCTGGCCTTTGCAGGTGGCATACTCTCACAGAGGTACATATACAGAAAATTTATTAAAATTATTAAAAACAACAATAAAAAGAAACTCCCCATGCTTCCAACGAGGTTGCACCAGTTTATATTCTCATAAACTCATATAAGAGTCCCAGTTTTTTTTCTACTCTTATCTATACTGGATATTTTCTGAAGTTGCTTTTAGTTGAAGCTATCACAGCTGGAGGAGGAAGTGTTCACTCTGAGATTCCGTCTTGTATTTCTATTACGAGTGACTTGGATGTGAATGAAGCATATGTAACATGCATGCAAATTCTGTATGTATTCTTACCCTTTCTCTTCTTTCCCTTTTTGCCTTTTTGAGGCAGGGTCTCACGTTACAATCCTATATGACTTGGAAGTTGCAATGTAGACCAGGCTGGCTTCGAGCTTCCTGTGATCCTCCTACCTGAGCCTCCAGAGTGCTGAGGTTACAGGTATGCATCACTATGCCTGGCAAAAGCCAATTATTATTATTGTTATTATTATTATTATTAAGTTGAGCCAGATTATGCTATAAGCCTGTAATCCCAGAACTTTGGGAGGTGGAGGCAGAAGAATTATCCATTCATAGGTATACTTGGCTACATAGTGACTTCAAGGTTCAATTCTTGGCCCCCCATACCTCTTTTTAGGGGCTGGGGAGATGGTTTGATTGATCAAGTACTTGTCATACAGGCACGAGGGCTTCGTTTCAGATCCCTAGCACTACTGTAAAAATACTGGGCACAGTGTCATGTACCTGTAATCGCATATATTGTAGTCACAGTACCGGCCTCTTGTTGCTCAGGTGAATGAATGGCAGGATGACTGGCCAACCTTTTTCACTCAACACCGGCTCCAAGCACAGCTGAACCTCATTGAAAAGGACTATGCTGATCGGGAGACACAAGAACTATGGTCAAGACTACAGGTGGGCATACACTTCCCTCGAAATAGGCTGTCTCTTACGTGCCTACCACATGGATGTAAGGTCCTCTTCGGACTGAGTCGGAGTAGGGTACACTGATGCTAGAGCGGTCAAGTTGTAGCTACCACTTTCTTACCCTGTAGGTGGGTGGAGGGATGGGACGTCTAGACCCCTGGCTCCCGGACTTCATTCATTTTATTTGCCCACTCTTAACCTCATTGTTTTCCTCTGCCAAAGAACCATATGTGCCACCCTTAGTGAAGATGTGTGTTCCTGCATGGCTTGTTTCAAAATATAACTCCAATATATTAGAAATATAATTCATCTACCAGTCTAGGGCAATGGTTCTCAACCTGTGGGTTGTGGCCCCTGGGATTCAAAAGACCCTTGCACAGGAGTCACATATCACATATCTTGCATACCAGGGATATACAATTCGTAACAGTAGCAAAATTACTGTTATGAAGTAGCAACAAAATAATTTCATGTTTGGCAGTCACCACAATATGAGGAACTGTATTAAATGGTTGAAGCATTAGGAAGGTTGAGAACCTCTGGTCTAGGGTGAACATGCATCAAAGAAATGTTATTTAACAGAAGGATGCAAGTACATATATCCAATAAAATAAAAACACAGTTCAGAGGGTAGGCACAAAACTAGTTCATATATTCTACAGCATAGAACTAACCTCTGAGATTTTTTTCTGTAAAGCTTTTGGACTCACTTGGCAGTGCCCAGAAAGCTAGGCAAAGTTGCATTCTGGAATCACGTGAGCCTTTTCATTGAACCTGACAGGTTACTTGGTTGGACTCTGGATGAATCCATGGCTCTCTACACTATTTCCAAGCTCTGGATAATGAGTCCATGGGTCTTTATTTTTGTTTTGTTTTATTTTTCAAGATAGACTTTCTTTGTGTAGTCCCAGCTGTCCTGGAACTCGCTCTGTAGACCAGACTGGCTTTGAACTCACAGAGATCCACCTGCCTCTGCCTCCTGAGTGCTGGAATTAAAGGATCTTTGAGTCCCATATTTGCACTAATTTCTCTTCTAGGTGAAGATCCCGGATCTGTTTTCTGGTATAGAGATTGTCCCTGCTCTGCTCCATGGGGACCTCTGGTCTGGAAATGTGGCTGAGGATGACCAGGGACCCATTATTTATGATCCAGCTTCCTTCTATGGCCATTCTGAATTTGAACTGGCAATTGCACTGATGTTTGGGGGGTTCCCCAGATCCTTCTTCACTGCCTACCACCGGAAGATCCCGAAGGCTCCTGGGTTTGACAAGCGCCTAATGCTGTACCAGCTCTTTAACTACCTAAACCATTGGAACCACTTTGGAAGGGAGTATAGAAGCCCATCCCTGGGAATGATGAGGAAGCTGCTCAGGTAGCAGAGGGCTGGGATCTAACAAAAGGTCACAATGGGCCCCTAACTGGACTGATTTTGGGTTGTCCTCCAACAAGTTCATCAAGAGGCTGTGAGGCTGTGGCACTGCTAGCTCAGGCTGATACTAACACCGCAGCATCACTGTTCATGGCAAGTTCCCACCTCAGCAGCTGCAGCCTCAAGTACCACAGCTGGGAAGGGGAAGAAGGACCACCCTCCCAGGGTGTTAGTATTCAGGCATGTGTACTGGCCTGTCCTTGGGGTTCTGACAGGATATGCCCTCAGGTGCAGCCACTAAGAGCACCACCTGTGCACATTCACTATAAGTTCCTTTTGAAAGAGTCCCGCCCATCTCCCAACCTCTTTCCCTGCCTCCCTCCCTTTTTCCCTCCCTCCTTCTTTCCATCCCTCCCTCCCTCCCTCCCCACCACTCTGTCCTCCTCTCTGCCCCCTTTCTTGCCTCTTCCAATAAACCTCCTATGTGAGTCCTGTTGTATGGGGTGACTTCTCTTCGTGGTGTTTATAAAATGACAACACATGGCTCTGGTCATTCAGTTGCAATCGTCACCAGACCCTCTCCAGCACCTCCCTGTTTTCTATTTTATTAGACATTATTTTGTGTGTATGTATGTTCAAATGTGTGTGTATAGGTTATATACACCTTGTGGTTTTCTTCTTCCACTATGTGGGTACCAAACTTGTTGGTTATCCACAACATATCTGAGAAGACTGCTCTGATATGGATTTAAGCCAATAGAAAGTCTTTGTTAGCTAGCCAGCGACTATAGTGGGTGTCTGGAATCCCAGCATAGCATTGGGTCTTTCTCAGGGTAAGATTTTAAGCACAAAAAACATATCCTGGTTTGAGATATTTCAGTTAACAAGGACAGTTAGTCAGAAGTGGAGCTAAAGAAGCCCAAGAGCAACATTAGTACATTTCGAGACTTTCCTGGAACTGTGGATTTTGATGGATTAGGTATTTGTTTTCAGTTCGGCTGGTGGGTGCTGTCTACACGCTGAGTTTTATAGCCTGAATGGTACTTCCATCATGGAATCAGTTGTGCTAAGGTGTGTGTGTGTGTGTGTGTGTGTGTGTGTGTGTGTGTGTGTGGGATGTGGGGGTATGTATTTTGCTATGAAAGTTTGGGGCTCTGTTTACACACTCAAGTCCTGAGACTTAGTGCAGGAGACTTTACCCACTAAGCTATCTCATCGCTCCAGCACCCCACTTTCCAGTGAGGTGTGTTATGTTGGTGAGCGCAGGACCAGCAGTGTGCAGCTAACATCTCTTGTCAGGGCTGCCGTGGGTGGCCAGCATGGTTCTGATGTTTAAGACGTCATCTCAAAAGCCTCTATCCTGGAACACCACCCCTGTCCCAAACCCCCATTGCCTCCTACACGCTTACAGCATACCGCCACCGTGCAGGCGCTCACCACATTCTCACCTCCTGCGTTTAGACACCGCCCCCCACCTCCAGTCCTTTCTACTTAGTATTTTTGCATTGTCTACACTAGCTCAAAACTCCCCGGTTGTGTCCCAATCTTAAATTCAGCCCTTTCCTAAACCTCCTTGTCCAGAAGTTCCATCCCCTGCCTCGCCTCCAATCATCCAAAACCATTCCTCGCCCAACTTCGCGAAAGGCTCATACCTGCCAATTCCTCAGGCCACACTCTCTATGGTCCCCATCCCTGCCGGGCTTCACCCACTCCCGGTTGAGGCTGGAGAACACTGGTGGCTTCGTTTTCCTGGTGCCGCCCAGCACTCGCGCACACAGTTTGCGCACTGAGCCGACTTCGCGCGAGCTGTTTTGTCGGCTGGCGCGCCCTGTAGTGGGGGTCGAAGGTCTCGGGGCGGAGCTGGCAGCTCTCAGGGGCTCCTCCTTTCTCTCCCACTTACCGGTATGGTTCTGACCGAAGCTGCTGCCGGGATGGTCCCGAGCAATGAGCCGGCTGTGAGCGCCGCCGAGGAGGAGATGGAGGATGATGTGATTTCCAGCGGCGCCGCCCTGGAAGCCTTCAGCGAGAGTGCGGAGACCCGCGCGCTGCTCGGCAGCTTGCCTGCGGTGCATGGCGAGCGCGCGGCCCGGGAGATGGCGGAGGAGCGATTCCGCGGTGCGGGCAGGGCCCCCTAGTTGCTATCCTGCAGTCATTGCTGCTGGGAGGAAGGGATCTGGGGAGCCGTACCTCCTGCCTGCCCTGGGGTGTTCAGGAACTAGCAGAGCACACCTGGGGCTTCTCTGTGAGGAGGGAGGAAATGAGCAGAATTGCCGAGAGCAAAAGTGGCAAGCCAAGAGGGGCGGTCTGGCTTGGGGCGTGTGCTCCTATGGGTTAGGGTTAGGGTTAAGCGCCAAGTTTAACTAGTGTCTCGGCTGCAGGCAGGGCAGGAGGGTGGACAGTGCCATTAGGTTTCTCTGGTGGATCTAAATTCTCCACGTTTAGGTAGGCCTTTACAGTCGTTTATAATGAATACTGTCTGTCATAGCTTTTGTCAACTTAACACAAACCTAGACTACCTCGCGAGAAATCACGTTATTGCCACCAACACATTGGCTGGTAGGCATGTCTATGCAGATGAAGGAGGACCCAGCCCAATGTGGGCTTGTACCATCCCCGGGCCGGGCCGAGTCTGGGGTGGATAAGAAAGATAGCTGAACTTGAGCCTGGGATCAAGTCAGAGAGCAACAATCCTACAGTTCCTGCTGCTTCTGCTTAAATTCATTCCTTAACTTCCCTCAGTTACTGGCTGTGTAAGCCAAGTTAACCCTTTCGTCCTCAAGTTGATTTTGGTCAGTTTTATCATAGGAACGGAAAGCAATCTAGGGCAGTGTCCAAATGAACCCTTTGATACTTAAAGTTTTGTGCTTGAGCCGAGTCATCTTTGTGGATTCCTTAGCTAAGGAAATTCTCTCCACAAGGCCTTCCTTGGTTCGGAGTGACGGGGGCTCTAGTTTTAGGGAAAGGCAGGGTGGTGGGCATAGTGGAGGGGTAGGTGAGAATTGCAGAGGCAGAGAAATCACTGGACTGAGGAGAAGCAGAGTAAGTTGCTGGTAGGGATGGAAAGCAGGTGGCCAGGATTAGGGAGGTTGTGAAATCACTGGTTTGAAGATTGGTGGGATGGGAGGGCACCATGCTTAGCAGAGGTGCACTTGGGAGGCACAGGCAGGTGGATCTCTGTGAGTTCGAGGCCAGCCCGGTCTACAGAGTATTGAAGATGTGGAAGGGTGTCTGTCTGACAAGGGGAAGTGGGGTTGTGGAGCGTGAAGAAAGGGGTGGAGGAAGAAAACCAGTTAGGGCATCAGAAGATGTGTGAGAAGAGGATCCAAGAGAAAGGTGTGGTCACCCTGGTCCCCAGGAACCTGACAGGTGTCTGGCAGCATCTGTCAGCATGAAGAGGTCAGGTGTATCTCTGGAAGTTACAAAGGCTGGGAAGAGGGAGGCTGTCTCGTGAGTTGCTGAGCCAATAGGGCAAGTTTGTAAGGGCATCTGGTTTGATGTTCATGTCACTTTCCTTTTAGTAATTATGGACAAATACCAGGAGCAGCCTCACCTGCTGGACCCACACCTTGGTAAGCATAGAAGCTGGTGATTTTGACGGTTCAATATCAGACCACCATGAAGGCCTTGTATGTCCTGCTGGCACCCCTGTGGGCTACCAACAGAAGGTGTCAGATGAAGTGTCCCTAGAACTGTCTTTTTTTCTTTTTGTCTGCCATTTGGCTTTATGGATCTGTGATAATGAATAGCTGGAAGTTCCGTTACCAGTCTAGATTGTGTGCAGATGTGTCTAAGCTACTTTCTGATTGTTGCTATCTAAAGAATACGTCTTTTCTCCTTATGTGTGCTTTAGTTTGTTATATGAACAGCTGTTATCTTCCTGGTAACTGTCATGTAGGATCATGTGTTTTACAAAGGTCCCATTTTACCTACACAGTAGTTGATGATGTCATCTGTCATCTCCATTTTACAGATAGAAACAATGAGGCTTGGTCTCATGTGTTTAGTATAAGGAGATTGTTGCACAGGGTTATCCTCTGAGCTAAACAGCCATCATCTGTGGAGTTCAGCTGTGTATACTTGCAGAAGATTATCCCAACTGGGCTACACCCTCTCATATGGAGGCAGAAAGGGTCAGTAGACCCTTATTTGAGTACGCTGGCTCTATGCCACCTGTTGTATCCAATGTTATCCTAATTGCAGGTGGCCTTAGGGAGGGCCTAGACTCTAGGTTATGAACCTGTGTGTCTTGACCCTCATAGGAGTCATATATCAGATACTCTGAATATCAGATAATTATATTGTGATTCTTAACAGTAAAATTACGGTTATGAAGTAACAGTGAATTAATTTTATGGTTGGGGGGTCACCACAACATAAGGAACTGTATTAAAGGGTTGCTGTATTAGGAAGGTTGAGAACCACACACACACACACACACACACACACACACATATAAGTATGTATAATGTATATATATTATTCTCTAGATATTATATACTGTTCTCTATACATATGTACTCTAGACCCTAGAGTATATAGGTCAGGTAAGACTAGAGGAGGGAGACTCCCATCTATGTGGCTATGGGAAAGTTATCATCCCTGCTGGGTAAAGACTTTTTTTGGCTGGCACCCTCATCCATGTTCTGTAAAAAAGCCCATTATATACTTATGGGTTTCCTAGATTCATCTTTGTTCTTGGGATCTTACAGGAGGGGTAGATATTGCTTACATCTACCCCTAGGAAGGAATTTTTATTTGCTTTTCATCGCTTTCATTATATTTGAACCCATTTCATATTAATTACTTTTTTGTTTGGATCTTTTCTTCTGTTTTGAAACAGAGTCTTGCAGTGTAGCTCTGGCTGGCCTTAAATTCATGGCAGTTTTGCAGCCTCAACCTCTCAAGTACTAGGATTACAGATGTGAACCACTACTTCTGGCTTGGTTTTTCTTTTTTGAGGTAGGGTCTTGCTATATAACCCTGCCTGGTTTCTAGCACTCTTGCTAATTTTTTTTTTTTTTTGGTCTTGTTCTATTTTTTTCCATGTGTGCAAGAATGTGTGTGATCCAACTGATTTAGTCACACAGTCCCCGTGGAAGGTCAGTTATCCTAAGCTACACTGTATTATACAAATGGGGAAATTGAAACACAGGTCTGAGGGGTTAATTAGCTTGTTCCATGCCACACAGTTGATGAGACTGCAGGCAGGATTTAAATACCTCCTCTTCTGAGCCTCTTGAAGATGGGTCTTTGAAGGGACCAGTTGCAGGCAAGTGGTTGATGTCAGGCTGAAGGACTGGCTATGCTGAGAGTGGCAGAATAGTGGGTGTTCTGGTCCTCATCTGATGCCTTTGGATTCCTAGTTGTCCCCATGGAACAGATGTAGGCACTGTCCATGACGTGAAAGGAACTGTTAGACCTCTTCTGGTGACAGCTTTGGACCTGTAACTCTGCCCTTATTGCCAGAC